CAGCCCTAACTATACTCCAATAATAAAACAAAAAATACTAATCACAATACACCGATGAAGAACCAAAGAATAACCAAGGGCAATAACGTCACCACCATAACGACCAAAAAACTTTCCTATGGAGACAAAGCGAGATTCAACATTGTGTATTACTAACAGTACAACAAAAGCACACCAAAACACCAAAATAGCATCAACGGTACCAAAAACACAACACTACGCAACACTAATGATGATGTGAAAAGCAACACCAAAATCGAAAACTCTATATTCTAGTAGCGACAACACCAGGAACGGCGACACCAAAGTCAACGACGAAATTACTTGCACACGACGCCATTAACTGTTCCAATAACGATTGCTTCTGTAACAACGACACCAAGAACTACAACACTGAGAACAACGACACCAAGCACGACGACACCAGGAACAGCAACACCAACAACAAAATTATCTACAGCCTAAAAAGAAAAATATTTTAGTAAATATAAAAACAAAAAACACTGATTATCACCCTGATCACTGTTTATATATCCTCTTTTTATTCTATTTTCCACAAGATATAAAAAATAATTAGAATGAATAAATGCCTTTGTTTGAACGAAAATGGATCTTATACTTATTTTATTTAAGTAAGACCACTGATTGTTGGGATGTCGTGCGAGAAGAAACGAAATAATGAAAATTACATCTCTGAACTTATTTTTGGCAAATTTTTTTTGTAAAAAAATAATTAGAATAAAAATAATTAGAAATGAATAAATGCCTTTATTTGAACGAAAATAGAACAAGATGTACTTACATAACGTTCCTGGTTTTAGAGCCACTGTGTCGCACAGCTACCTAATATTGTATATTATTAATAACAAATAGATATATTATTATTAGTTGAGATTTGGGTGTGGACAAGCCGAAACAATACTAGTTCTGAATTCTTTTAACGTTCCTTGAAATTCATAATCTCGACCGAGTATGTGTATTTTTGCTTAAAAAATTTCAAAGCAAGAAGGTTTGGTCGCATTGCAAATACTATATAAAATAGCTATTTTTGAGGGTGTGATCTTTCTCAGCTTTATTTTTTTTCTTGGTTAAAGCTACAAATCAATAAAGTATTTATATAGCTAATCAATTGTGTCTAGTCTTGTGAGTACAGTTTCCTTTTAAGAAACCCCTGAAAATGGCGATTAAAAAAAAGGCCTACCGTTGCAATTTACGCAATTTACTATTAAAAATAGGCATGTCGATCACTCAAATTTATATTAAAAATTTTACCCCAGTGTACTACGCCGCCGTCTACTCGCCGTTCCATTTACGTACTTAACAATTTACCGCAGTTCTACTTACGCACTAAACAATTTACTACGCCATCGTTCTACTTACTAAACAATTTCTGATTTCCTTATTTACAATCTATAAATTCTACACTTCTTTTACAAGACAAATTTGATCATTTCATTTAGACCATAACATTATCGGAGTTTGCCTTTTCTTGCACATATATATACAGTTTTAAAACAATAATTTTAATAAAATACTGTGCAGCGTAGTACAGAACATTTGTACAACGGAATAACCGATTATATAATATACTGCAAATCAATCATACCAATTCTCACGTATTTAATTATCATACGTACATACGTACGTACCTTATAACTAACCACATGTCAAATGAAAAAAACTTTTCAGACATTTACAATAATCCATCTACAGAACTATCATTAAATGAAATTATCTACAATGATAAAGATCAAGTCGTTAATACTTCGAACCAGGGAAAATTTTCGTCGCATACGTGTAATTCACAAGATTTTTTAAATAAAGTTATCGAAGAATTATGTGACCTGTATATAAAAGAAGCTATGAAAGGAAATTATATAGATTCATTTATGCATTCAATAGAACAGTATCTGACAAATAAGCATCAAAAACCAGAAGAAATAATCAATTTATGTTTGAATAACCAAACAAACCCTATTATTCAAACCAATTCTATTATTCAACACATTTTCGCATTTTGTTATGATTTAGGAATATGGATTGAAAAAGATAATCATAAAGCATTTATTTATTATCAAAAATCTGCAGATATGGGAAATTCTAATGGAATTTGTGATCTCGGATTTTGTTATAAACATGGATTCGGAATTGAAAAAGATAATAATAAAGCATTCATTTATTATCAAAAATCAGCCGATATGGGAAATTCTTATGGAATTAATTCTCTTGGTGATTGTTATTGGAATGGAATTGGAGTTGAAAAAGATATTAATAAAGCATTTATTTATTATCAAAAATCAGCTGAAATGGGTCATGCTGTAGGAATGAATAGTCTTGGATATTGTTATAAAAAAGGTATTGTTGTTGAAAAAGACGAGCATAAGGCATTTATTTATTATCAGAAATCTGCCGATGCAGGCAATGCTAGTGGAATGTACGAGCTTGGAGATTGTTATGAAGAAGGAATTGGCGTTGAAAAAGATGAACATAAAGCATTTATTTATTATCAAAAATCAGCTGAAATGGGTGATAACGATGGAATGAATCAAGTTGGTTATTATTATCAGAATGGAATTGGAGTTGAAAAGGATGAACATAAAGCATTTATTTGTTATCAAAAATCTGCTATTATGGGTAATGCCAGTGGAATAAACAGACTTGGACTTTGTTACGATAATGGAATTGGAGTTGAAAAAGATGAACATAAGGCATTTATTTATTATCAAAAATCTGCCGATTTGGATGATGCTAGTGGAATGCATAATCTTGGATATTGTTATGAAAAAGGGATTGGAGTTGAAAAAGATGAACATATGGCATTCGTTTGTTATCAAAAATCTGCTAACATGGGTAATACTAGCGGTGTAAACAGACTTGGGCTTTGTTATGAACATGGAATTGGTGTTGAAAAGAATAAATATAAGGCATTTGATTATTATCAGAAATCTGCTGACATGAATAATTCTAACGGAATGTGTAATCTTGGTGATTGTTATGAAAAAGGAATTGGAGTTAAAATGGATAAATATAAAGCATTTATGTATTATCAAAAATCTGCCGATTTGAGTAATTCTAATGGAATAAACAGACTTGGATATTGTTATGAGAATGGAAGTGGCGTTGAAAAGGATGAAAATAAGGCATTTACATATTATCAGAAATCTGCTGATTTGGGTAATGCTAGTGGAGTGAATAAGCTCGGGCTT